AGAGTCCCTTGAATACAGGATCATAACAGATTTTTCATTGTCTCCGGACTACTTTGAAGCAAAATAACGGAAGCAATTGATGTTGTTATATTCCCGTTTTGGATACCACTACGCACGGAAATAATCAACCAATTAACCAGCCATATTTTTTGCAAAATGATAAAATTTGAAACATTAATGGATCTAAGAATTGACGAAAAGGTTTCGACGTCATTTTTATACTCCTGAATATCTGTTGCTTTTTATGTAGCTTTAATTCAATAAGTTTAAATCCCAATGTATATTCTTACCTGTTTATATAGCAATTAAATATAGAAAATAAATGTCTAATGAGGAAATCTCTAAGAAAATTAATACAATGTGCATACGCAATCACTGCACGTTACGGTTTACCTTATAATATCTAGAGAATCTCTAGAAATAAATGAGAACTATCAACGAGATTTTGCTTTAAAACCGAGGATTGCACAGACTCTGTATTCAAAAAACCCCAATCAAATTTATTTTTTAATATAATTTTACGTAATTTCGTGACGCAAACGCGCTTATTAAACCACCGGGAAGCGCACCAAATGAAGAGTGTATAAATTTAAAACGCGGATGTTGACAATGACACGTTCGTAATTGAAAACGGTTAGGATCACGAACGTTGACATCGACACAAAGACTGACGTCACGGGACGTCGCATATGCTGCGAATCGATACGGAAAGTTTTGCAAAAAATGCCGCGCTCGGTCACAAGGTAATATTCGAGGACACGTTAAAATCTGGTTTAACAGTCGATAAATATTACACAAGCAATAAATGCACAAATCGCACTTGAATTCCACGCTAAATCTGATTCCACTTAACAAAGAACCACAGAAATACCACTGAAAATTTTCAAAAGTCTATCAATTAATCGCTCGCGTGTGACGTAGGAGAGATCGGGGCTAGTTTGGCTAATCGATTATTTCTGCTATTTTCCAACAGATTACAGGGTTGAGCAAGTAGAGATTTAAAACATGTCAAAAATGGTTATGGAATCCCTACTGGCTCGATTCTATTCGATAATCTGTTAGAAAACAACAGAAATAATCAATTAGCTAACTAGTTCAGCTACAAGCGTAACAATCGACACGAAAATCCTCGTGAAAAACGTAGAAGCAACATGCGTGTAAAAGGTTATTATCACTGATACTGTGATAACACTTACTAGAGAAATCCCAGATAACATTAGCATTTTCTAAAAACATCTTTTAGACAATAAGACATTTAAAGAACATCTCTGAAATGTCGTTCAGATATACGTATTTTTTTGGAACGGTTCTTCCGACTTCACTTCTTTCATATTGTGATGGTCATTGTTACAAATATTAAATATTTTTCTCTCAATATGTGAGACCGCGCGCGCGGGCAAAAAAAGGGATATACAAAATTCGCCCGATGATTAATGCATTATCCGAGAGCGGAATACTTCCACGGTAGTAGAAACGTCGAGGTAATGCGAGCTCCGCGAAACGAATAAAAGCGCATTGGAGATACCGTTCAGTTTATACGCGAATGTTTTTGCACGCGGAGCACTGCGAAAATTATCTCGCACGAAAATTTCATTTGATTCGGGGCGGTTTATTTTTCGAAATTTATTAGCTCGGTCGATGTTAAATATTATATCAAACGCTCGCGTCGAGAATAATCGTCGGGCAAAAGATTAATGATCTTATCGGGCGAATCAATAACGCCGCAACGCCGTTTCCGACCTACCGCACACGATAACGACCGTTTCTGCACACTTATCGGCTCCGTCCGGCCGCTCAAACCAGGAATATCGACTTCGACTTGTTGATTTCGTATGCGTCGCTGTGTATTCGCGCAACGTCATTCACACTTTGACGTGTTCTATCGGAAACGGATATCGAGCGCGCTGGCGACCAGCCAGTTGGATGCAAATTTCAATATATTTAACCGGCCTGTGAATTAAAATAAACGACGTCGAATGCACTCGAAAGAGAGAGAGAGAGAGAGAAAGAGGTTACGAAGAGCGAGCAAGGTAAACGCGAGAGAGACCTGCGAGCAGATTTTGTTCTGGCACTGCTTGCTACGTTAGCAAAAACGCTTTCCGATCGGGATTTAATGCTGCTCTTTCTCATCGGGAATTGATAATCGCGAGGGATAATGCGACGATTATTCGACGAGTATACCCGCCGTTTCAAGAATGAAGAGGGAACTCCATTTTCACGATGACTAATCTCCGCTGTAAGGAGATATAGATATATATACTATTTCCCCGTTCGCGTAATCGCTGCGATGTTGGCGATTTCACGGTCTTTAACAATTCTCAGGGATCTCTAGCCGCCTTTCTCGCCGGCAATTTCGCGATCTTATTTTTGCCTTACTGCTCTTTCTTTCTCTCTCCCCTTTTCTCCTTCCCTCGGCCTTACTCCTTATCCCTTTCTCCGCAACGCGGGAGTTCAGGAAATTGTTTCCCCTCAGAGGAGAAACGAGTTAACTCCCGAAGATCTCTCCAACAATTTCACATCGCGAGCACCGGGGATCGCGGAAGCCGGCTGAAACTTTAATTCCAATTCTCGCGCGGCGTTTTCGATCGGAACGCCGACGGAAAGGTCACCGGTGGCTCCACGAAGTCGCGCTCGCGCAGCATCCTGATATCCACCCGCGATCGGCCGAGTGAGCGCGCGGATCAACGGCACGAGAGACGCACGTCGACGACGCGCACTCCTCGACGCGACTCTGGCCGCGAATTTTCTCGAGCTTAGAGCACGAGCAGTGCGGACTCGTGAAGGTGGTGCCACACCGCCGCGGAAATCCGACTGGAGGATTTGCACGGACGCGCGCCTTTAATTTAGAGCCGCGGAGCGCCCTCGATCTCGCACGCTTCTGCATGCGGCTCGTTCGCGTCAACCGAGGTGTAGTACGTGCATAGTCGACGTCGTGTATGCTATATTACTCCCTGGGTCAACAGTTGCATCATTTTGAGAGTCTCTTTCACCAACCTGCAGCTAACGGCTGCGTTCACAGCAGAGAAACAAGTTCGGTGAGCGCTTAGTGATTACTGCTTGTGACCGGAATGCTCTTTTAGATTCTTGATGGATCCAGGAGAATGTATCAGTCAGGAGCAATGATCATCAGGCGCTCACTAGAGCTATAAACGCGACGTTTGACTATGTGTGATAGCTTCTTTAAAAAAAATGTCGCATAAGTTGCTATCTGATACTGCGAATTAAATTGTGAATTATAGTAAACGTGTCACTGTAAATGTCGTGCTCCTGTTATTTATTCTTCCTTTCTTTTTAACAGCTGTCATTTCGTTCAATCTGTAGAATCTATCAATGTAGTGATTCTTAGCGAGATGTGATTTATTATTGATACTGGTTAATAATTCTATTTCGATCCTCTAACGGTTGAAGTAGGTTGGGGTCGGATGTAACCTCACGGCTCCTTTATTTTACTGCGTGCACTCTTGCTGTGTTTCTCTTCTTAAGGAATGTCTCATGTTATTATTTACTTCTTTTTATACATTGATTACATGAAATATAAATAAAACATAACATGAAGTCGAATCCGACCCCACTTTCCTGGGCACGTTGAAAATCCGTCTTGCCATTAGAGGGTTAATCGTGTTGACAATAATGCACATTATCATATATCAATGACTTCAGATATTTATAAGCAATGTGTAGCAGATTGTCAGACCGGGCACTCGTTATGGAATGTTCGGAATGAATTCCAATCGGAATCATTCAGTTCGAAAATTCACCGGTTATTCTCTCAACTTTCTCTTATTTCACTTTATAGGGAATAATTTAACTATTTCGATCGGAATCAATTCCGAACGGATCCATAATACATGCCTTATTACGGCCGTCGTTTAGAGTAGGTAATAGGGCGCAGAAGAAGACGGTTTTACGAAACACTTCAGGGGAAATGATAAGAAGAAGCTTAATCAAATCTGAACTGATGAGAACTTGACGTACCAGTTAATTGGATCCGCTAGAGCGACGATATCGTTTGCCTTGTGCACGCCAGGATTGCATAGCGAACACGCATTAAATCATAAACGCATTGTGACTTCATTCGGAGGTTACCACCCTCGGGACCGTCTTACATATTTCAGTGTTGCTAATCCAGTATGATTTTCTCTTGTGCGCCGCTACGACTACCACCACCATCAGCGTGTACACGAACGCGCGAGTTTAGTTATTTTCGAACGGGTCGTTTTTGGATGCCTCTCCGTCCATAAAAAAATCCTTAACGCGTAAATCGAACGTTTTATCGCGTGCGCGATAATAAAATCGCCGAAGAACGCTTTATCGAGCACAGAGCGGTCTCTAACAGGCCTTTTCGTTACAAATTTAATTAGCGTGCCGACGCGAATAGCTTTTTAAAGGATGCCCTTAATTAAAATATATTTACACTTTAAATAAACTCGTGATCCGAAAAAAAGTCCGAATAATCCCAAAGCATTGTTACTAAATAAATTCCTTCTATCTCCACTCGATTCAAGAAATACAAGGTGTCTCAGATCTTGCGACCTTAATTTTGCCGAAAAGTTCGCCGAGCAATTCAAAGTTAATTTCTTCTTCGCAGCGGAAACGTTAAAGTATCAATAGTTTCCGAGATGAAAGCGACCGGTAAAAGGGATAATAAATTTTCTTCGGTTAATTTCCAATTCAACTCTAAGAAAAGATATGTTATAATTATTAATAGTAATAATCCTCGACATTTTCTGTCAAAAATAAATGATTTTCGTGGAAAAATTGTCTTCAAATTATTAACATTAAGGTTGCGACGCGGTATCTGGGACACTATGTGTATATATTCTGACATGCACATGCAAACGCTCGATGTGACTATCTGATTCGAAACTGTATATTCATCTTATCCGGGGCCTGTATATAGCTATTATTTCAGTTTGAGGGTCACACAAGAGAGCGCGATTCGCGTGCTGAATACGCGGTCAGAATCCGGAGCAGAAGGTCCATTGTTGCGATCGACCTACCCATATCGTCGATTATAGGCGCCATCCGTAGCGTGACACCGACCAGGAGCAAGGACATCGCGAGCAGAAGACAAGCGGTGGCGACGATCGTCCATCGTGCACGAGGGGGGAGTTCCTCAGGATCGACGAGCTCCTCTTCCGGACTGACGACCGAGTCGATCTTACGTCGTTTACGTTTGCGCTTTCTTCGCGGTCGATGATACCTTTCCTGAAGCTCGTTCACCTTCTCAGGGCCGCTCAAGGTCTCCTCCTCCTCGTCGGCTACGTTCAACGCCACGTAGTCGGCATCGTCGTAAGGAATATTTCTGAAAGGCAAACAGATGGATACTTCTTCGCGAGCACTCTCGGAGCGAGCGAAAATCTGCAACGGGAGCAACGAAATCTAGCGCACGTGTAAACATCGAGATGTATCGCTGCAGCTGCAACGGGCCATTGTTATCGTCGGCTGAACTGTTATTTTCGACCAGCATTGTTTCGGAAATGAAACACGCCTGCCACTCCGACTGCGTCTGACGTTTAATTTATATTAAAAAGTGACGTTCCGCTTGGATGTTTCACGCGGCAGCTCTGTCGAACGCCCGACGATTATCTCGCCCGAGATAGATGGCTAACGAACGGAAATGAAAAGCCACGATTTGCGCGTGTATGTGCATTGTAAAAATGCGCGATTGTCTCTCTGAAGAAGAGTCCGTTTGAAACGAGCCTCTTCTTCCTCCCCCGAAGCCTGCCTGTACAACGATACAGTGTACGTACGTTTCCTGAATAAGACGCGCCGAGCTATCGACAGTCGTCGCTAACTAAAATCTATATCAGCATGTTCCTCATTCGCGTGTCGAACAACGGGCAGCAACGCCAGCGTGCTTTTTAATTAACCCCGATTGTGAGGGTCCGAAGAAAAAACGGCGAACGCGTATCGATCATGATGAGATGCCTGTAATATTCGCGAAACTCGAGAAGTTGCTGTTTGCTGTACGCGACTGAAAAGGCGATCCATTGTTACGTAGGCACGTACCACCGCATTCGGGACGAATTAGAAACGTCAGCCGGTTTTCGGCCGAGCAACCGAAGCGAGAACGACGTTGAGAAGAACAGCAGCTTGCAAAAATCAATCGCACCTTCGCTGAGCTGAGCGCCGAGGAACTTTCTGCGCGTAAACGAACGAAGGCGGTGTCAGCCTAAGCGGGCTGCATAAAGCAAAGGCTGGAATATAAATTGGAATTGTTATTCCGTTTTCGGCCGAGCGGTCAAAGTGAGACAAAGCTGAGCGACATTGGAAAGAATAGCAGTCTGCAAAGATCGATTGCACTTTTGCAGCCGAGCGCTGAGAAAATTTTCGCCTGTGAACGGACGGGGATGACGAAAACGATGCCAACTTATGCTTGAAGCGAGGGCTGAAATATAAATTAGGAATGTTATCCGGTTTCCAATCAAGCGATCAAAGAAAGACGCTGAGCGACATTAAAAAGAATAGTAGCCTACGAAGATCGATCGCATCTTCGCTCGTTCGCAAATTTCCACTCGTGAACGAACGGAGATGATGTTAACTTGTGTGTAGCCGCTCAAAGCTAAAAGAGCCAAGATACAAATTAGAAATGTCATCCGGCCGAGTGATCAAAGCGAGGCGCTGATTGAAAAGATTAGTAGCCCGCAAAGATCGGTCGCATCTTTGCAGCTGAACGCTGAGGGAATTTCCGCGCGATGAGGAAGACGCCAACACTAAAACTGTTTAAAGTATAAGCTGAAATACAAAGCCTAATCAAATGAATGTGACATTACGTGAGAGCGCTGGCGCACAGTCTCGTGGCCGAAGACATCACGTGATACACTAAAAGGATATCCGAGACTAAAGAGACCGAAGAAGAGACGCAGATAAAAATAACGACCGGCTGCAGTTATTTATTACGGCGCGTAGTAAAAGAGAGAGAGAGAGAGAGAGAGAGAAGGCGGACTGCATCGAGCGAGAGATGCGTGAGATAAATTAACGCGCCGAGTTTGCGGTAAAACCGTTGAGCTCCGCTCGCTGTTACACGAGCTCCCGGCGCGCACACGGGAGAGAAGCGGGCCAGCAATTCGATATACGTCCACAACAGCGAGAAGTAGACCCTGATATCGAGCTGAACAAAGAACAATCGTTGCACTATCTACGTCACACACACGAAGGCCATCACGTGCTCTCTGAGTATAAATTTAGAAAACGCTGCTAGAATAGGACGGAAAAGTGGAAAAACGATAACCGAGGTGTCGGACGTACTCTACGGGTAGAGTAGCGGCTGGATGATATTCGTGCCCGACGATAACAACCGCGACGTATGGACGGACAATGACCGATTCAAGTGCTATCGTCGTTTAAGCACTCCGTTGCATTTGTCAAAGAGACATTGCCGCGATATGTGATATGTACATACGTATATATGTGTACGTATTCCGTTCCCGTCCTTCGGGGCAATCGCGCGGTCGAGTTAATTTTCCCGCAAATACACCGTAAATTTAAAACGCATCTAATAATAATACCAGCGGGGACGTGTAAAAGAATAATAAAGTTTCCACGTATGCGGCGATTGCATAGTTGATTAAGAGGAGATGTCCGATAAAGAGGACTCCGAGGTAGCTGGTGGATCTCCTGCCGAAACGGTCCGAAGTGTACCAAGTAGTAAACGTCAACGCTAAATCGGTCGCCACCAACAGTGACGGTTACTGTCTCGCGTGAGAAGCACATTTTCGATTAATACGTGTCTTGACGACAAATTGCACGTTGTGTCAACTGATGGCCGTCGTGATACCACATTTCTCGCGTTTCTCTCGTTCACACGTGTTACGAATATCTAGGGCACCCTTGTCGTTAAATTTAAAGAGCGGTTTTGAATTTGTATGGCGACGATATAACGAAACTTGAAGAAGTTCGACAGGCACATTGTTCTCTTTGTCTTTTTAACGCATCTTTGATAGAGAGCTCTCCTACGCATCATGGCATACAAATAAATCGAGTGTGTTCGCGTTTCCAAAAGATATTTCGAGAAATTATTGGTAAATGTTATTATGACATACATAGGCGTAGCCAAGGTGGGGGCAGCTTGCCTCCCTCCTAAATTTGAGCAAGAAGAAGCCATTAAATTATGAAAAGTATGAAAGTAACTGACACGTTACAGTCCACATTCTACAAAAAAGCTACGATATATCCTCTGTAGATAAAAACCAAACACAAAGTATTAACAATGCATTGTGAAAATGAATGTAATGAAAATCGCTCAAATTGCCACCAGCGGACGTTTCTTGGCGCAACCGTGCGCAATGAATACCATTGAAAAGTTTTTTCAATGCGAAGGGTAAAAATTTGGTTGAGGTTAACAGTGTCAGAAAATCGTCTCAGTGGGCTATGCATTTTAAATGTGCATGGAAAATTAGTGCTCGCGAAAAAAAAGAAGCTGGAAGAATAAATATTAAGACGGTTTACTGAAATTTCGCAAAGATTTAATATAATAATAAGATTTGATATAAGTATACTAATAAAATTTGTGTGAAAATAAATGTTTCTCCTCCCCTGACTGAAATCCCGACTATCAAGATACAAAAGATCTCAAAATTATAGGTAAATTCTTAATTGGCCAATGCAATATCGAATCATGCGAGACGGCAACTTGCCGTTACAAACATAAAACTGACACTACGCATTTTCACAAGCAATGCCTTTTGAATGAATGAAAATAAATGTAATGAAAATTTCTCAAATTCACCAGACCGCATTGCCCGTAATAATTTTGGCGTTTATTCCAGTTACGTAGGAAATTCTTCCTAAATAAATAATAATAAAAATATATATGGAGATAAATTTTCATTTATCCCTCTCCTCTGACTGGAATTCTGGCTACGCCAGGATGACATATGAACCAGATAACTAATCGGACGTATTTTTCATCTCCAAAAATATTGCAGGAATTTATCGATAAATATCTCCAGGGCAAGTTACGTGACAGGTCACGCGACAGCAGCGTTGACTGGATAAATATAACGGACGATCACAGGAGGCGTCCCCTACGTTTTAGTATGTAGCATCGTGCGGGTATAGCTTGCCGAATGTCGTTCCTGTATAACTTTATAAACCGCTCAATTAGTGAAAAAAAAAAACGGAAGAGGCAAAGAAAAGGAAGAAAGTAAAAAAGCGCGGGACGATGACGCGGTAACACACGACGCCTCCTCGTGATCGCCACCGTCCGTCTGCTCTCGGACGGCCGCAATTTCATTACACGCTCCAACGGCGCGTTCGTCCTTTGTTGCCCAGGTGGTTCAGCCGCCAAACCGTATTTGCCGAGAGCGAGTGTGTGACGGAGGCGCGCTACCACGCACTGCGCTGACCCAGTTCCACCCGTGGTGTGCTCTCACGCCAAAACCGCGTCTTTCTCTCTCGCTTGCTAGCTGACGGCGGATCGAATCCCGGTGAGCACGGAAGAGGGACGGACGGGACGGACAGACAGACGGAGGAGACGACGACACCTGGCGACCCCGTAAATGAGAAGATAGCGAGGTGAATGTTCACCGTCGAGGAATTCGTTCTCAACGTGTGCAAACGACAACGGGAATTGCGACGGGGTTCGTAAACGAGGAAACTATGCCATGCGGGAAGATCACCCAAGATATTCCACGCCCCTACAAGCATCTCCGAGAACGGGGACTCCAATCTCCTCGATGGAGCTTCGAGTTGATCTGTCGCTCAGGGAGGATTTCATCGATGACGCTCGCAACGCGTTTGCCGCACTTTTCGAACTCGCGCGACTCCGCTTCCGACGCTGCTGACCGCTTGCGATTCTGATAAGTGTCTGGTCTTTTTCTTAGCTGCATTCAGTTTTGCAAATCGGAGACATCGGTTTGCCATTAAGATTATCTTAATATAATATTTAGCCAATTTAACGACTTTCCTGGAGTAATCAAAGCAAAACAAGGTCCGATTTGCAAAACCGAATGCAGCTCGTAAAATCTGGCGATTATTTTAATCGCTGCGACGCTGCGTCACACTGAGAAAAAAAGTGTTTGACATTTGTGATTATAATCACATTATGGAAGAATCATAATCAGGAGAACTATTTTTGTAATATATGTTATTATCGCATATAGAAATTTTTATACGGCATAGATTCCGATTAGAATAAAAAGTTGCCCCGAAATAGGCTATCTCGCTATGATACTAATTGGGTATCCCACTTTTATTCCAAACTGGAGGCTGTGTTCGTATATTCATTCGTATATGTCAATACTGAAAATCTATAATTCATATTACGTACACGGAGGAAAGAGATTGGTTGAATTAACGTGACGATGAATGCGTTTTGGTTGAAAGAAACAGAATTTTTGGCCTTAAAACCGAATTTAGTTCAGAAGAAATAAAAATCTGTTCCCTTCAACGAAAACGTTTCGTTCAGTGTCACGTTACTTCAATAAATCATTTTCCTTTGAATATATTATCGATTTTTAGAGTTTTATTAGCAGTAAATATATAAACACAATTGGGATGAAGCCTGGTTTCCGCGATACTAATTGACTGTGCGCTGCGGCTTGCTTCGTGCCGCGTATGACCATGGCTGCGTTCGGAAAATACAATAGTGGTTGCGCAACGGTTGAATAATTCGTCAACGTAATTGGTCTAAATTTAGGGATTTAACAGTAAAAACCAATAATCACTGAGCGCTCACTGATCGCTTCGTTCCGCTGAACGCAGCCTATTGTCGCCAGAGTTTAGTGACAGTTTGACCGAATATCAGACTGGGAGGTCGATGAACGGGGTTATATTTTAATGACACTATACCACAATAAAATATGCGCGTAGCGTATGTATATGTGTGTATGTACACTTATAAAATGTGAAAACTTGAAATGTTTTGTATATTTGGTTTAATCGTAATGTAAATCAGAGAAAATCTTTAGAGGGAAGAAAGAAACGTTACAAATGATTAAATAGGATCTGTTTATGTTTCTTAGAACCTTATATTTAGAACATTATGTTTCTAATCAGAGGAAAAGAGAGAGAGAGAGAGAGAGAGAGAGAGAGTCTATGCAGATTTCTCAATTAGAATCTATAATTATTTTGGGAAATCGGACTGAATCCAAATTAGATCCCAAGAAATTTTCTATGCTAGATAGTGTGAATGAAGATAATCTTGCATGTATATTGCTATTGTCATTCATTTATCGGAACGGCAAGAAGATACAATCGACGGCGGAAATAAGCATAATTTTCAAGGAGATTACTATTCTCCTTTCTCTCAGTGCACCGTCAGCGACGCGGAAGAACACAGAGCGCGCGATATATACTCACAATTGAGCTTCGCTGTGGGAAATGTAGCAGGCACTTTGGTGCAGCGGCGGATATTTGGAAGAATTGCCGAAGACTTCTTTAGCCCTTTCTTTAGCCCTTTCGAAGTTTATTAGGGCCACATTTTGGTCGCCGTCTATGCCGACAAGCTCGAGGCGCGCGAGGCCGGCGTGAACGTCTGGAACGTCTTGAAGAACATTTGGACTCCTCGAATGTCTGCGCTTCTTTCGAGGGCTTCGAGGACTTTCGGAAGCTCTTCTCCGGCCCTTTCCTAGCGAACGGGAAAAAGCGCGATTAGTGGATACCCGCCGTAGTCGTTCAGACCAAGCTTAGCCTCAAACGCAACTCAGCTCCGCAAATATTTCGAGAATTTCGTCGAGCGAGTTTCCAAATTTTCTTGGAAGATATTTTTCCGTCGAGCGCAAACTTCAATCTCATCCGACGTAAACCGGAATAATCTATGATTCAAGAACACGCACGAGTGATGATTCTGTCGTCTGGATTGTTGATTCGTACAATGAAAAAAAAAAAAGTGCTTAGTTATCTGTGTAACTGTAATTGTATGAAGTAATTATCGTCAGAGAAACCGTCTCTGCAACGAATGCTACTACAGTGTCAGTGATAATAACCTTGTGCGCGTATTGTCACTGTTACTTTTTATTAGAACGACGAAAGGAACGTAGCGCTAAAAATTCCTACGATTTCAATGAGATTAACCATTTTCTCTCTCAGTGTACAAGAGAGACACGATGAGCCACGACCAATATTTGAAAACGTAAAATGTTGAGAGAGAGAGAGAGACTTTATCCCGGGAAAAAGTATTCGTTCACAAACGCGAAAATCCCTCTGCTTAACTTCAATCCGAAAAGCGACAGATCGTTTTAACGTACCGTTAGATGACTTGTGCTGAGAATGATCCGTCACATTGTTGAGATATTCGCCGCAGGGCGCGGAGTCGTAGCGTCTGCGACGGTGGCGGTGATGCTGCTGATGAGGCTGGCCCTTCTTCTTGTGCTGTTGCTGCTGTTGTTGCTGCGAATGATGATGATGGTGGTGATGATGATGATGATGATGGTTCAGCGAGGAGGAGGCCGTCGAGGTCGAGGTCAATCTGGGTCGGCGTGGACTGGCAGGCGCGCTACCGAAACGTCGGCTCAGGGTCGACGACGCCTTCATCGCCTCCACCTTCGTTTCCACTAGGGCGGCGAGGACGGCCTCGAGACGAGCCACCTCCATGCCGCTGCCCCCATCGTCCGTCGACACCGCCTTGTCAGCGACGTCGGAAGTCGACGGCGTCACCGTCATCTCTTCACCGCGTTCTGTCACATTACTCTCGTCAGCGGCGTCGACGGCGATCGCGATGCGATCGGTTGTGGCGCGGGAACGATCGGCCCGCTGCCGGAGCGATCACAAGCCCTCCCGCCGCTTCTCCCGAGCGACGACGTTGTCCGCCGAGAGCTCCTGCAGGAATCGCGACAACATCAAGCCGACCTTGCGCCGACCGGTAAGGACGTACGAGAAGGGGTAGGGGGGAGCGAGGAGGGTCGCTTTCTTCAGCCGTGGGTCTTATCGAACGGACGCTACGGTCGCGATGCTATTCCACCGCTGCCGCCGCCGCCGCCGTTCGTTCATTAATCTTCCGCGGGATTTCCGGGCGAAGCTGATAACGATCTTCTTCCCGAGGTGATAGCAACGGCTACAAGCCACATAAAAGCTAGCCGCCGGTGTTCCTCGCCGATTCGTCCGCATCAGCAGCTGGCGCTTCTCGCATTGTCAACCATGAGGCTATTATCTCCCTTTTTCTCCTTCTTCTTCTTCGTGTTTTTCTTGCTCACCGATGGATCCAAGTGATCTTGCGTTTTCGTGAGCGGAGCCAGAGGGGGAAGAGGGCACCTTTCGATCGTTCTCGGCCGGCGAAACGGCAGTTTTGCACTGAACCAGTCTCGCCGACTTAGTCGCCCGTTCGATCTTGTTTGCACGCTGTTAATTGCTTGCTGTTGGTCGGCGAGAGAAACAGAGTGTCGCTGAATTATTCGTTCGTTCCAATTCCGCTGACGTTCTCTCCCTCTCTCTCTCACTCTCTCGGCGTTGCAGCCTCGTGGCGCGTAATTGGAATCGCGTCGTGAAAAATTCCCGCGGATGCGATCGAACAGCCAATTACAGCTCGTTCACTTCGTCTCACGAAGGTGAGACGGAGGATTCTCGATTCTTCTTTTCTTCTCCCCTCTTCTGACGGGACCAATCGATGTTCGACCACGAATGAACCGTCCTGCGGCAGTCAGCTTCGGAACGCGAGTCTCGGGCGGATTATTATCGCCCCATTAGCGGCCGTGCATTATCTGATAGCGGATATCAGATGATCCGCCGCGCTCGACGTATCGCCGCGCGAGCCGCAGTGGTTGCCGCAAATTTCTTCCGACGAGCCGGCCGGCGCCCGCGTTTCCATCATACGCGCGAATTCCGCGAGTACCTGCCGCTCCGCCAAATCGGAATTAATCGAATCTACTGCGTTGCCACTGCGGATTTATGCCGCGTGAAACACGAGCGAAATCCAGTAGCGCGTGCGGATGGTGCTTCCCGTCCGCATAGTCCGCTTAGTCCTTCATCCGGCGAACGCTGAACTGTCACTTGATAGCGCGACGGCGTTATCGCGCTCTTTCAGCGGGTGGATCGAATACAGTCGTGAAGAGCGTCGTGTCGATCGCGTCATCCGCCGCCTCGACGAGAGAGGGTGTCGTCCTTCGATCCTCCAAATGTCCACGTGTCGGACGCGCACTCGAGAGAGCCGTTATTCGCACTGTGAGCCACGCAGAGATCGAAATCGCGCGCGCGGTGCGCTCGAGGTACCGACTCGTTCCACAGGGACCGGGCCACGCCGAGTCATCGCCGTCGTGCAGAGCCTAGAGCAGCAACAATGATGGATCGTCCTTTCGGAATGAAATCGCGCCGCCGATGCGTCCTTCCCCGCGACCACCCGCGTAGCTAACGACCCCGTTCTTCCGCGCGGCGCAATGCAAAGGACGACGGTCGAAATATACCAGCCATACCCAGCTAAAATACGAGCACGAGAGAGGGACGCTGGAAAATGTTATCCGGGGAGGTTGTATTTCGAGGCCCCGAGATTCCCCGCCGACGAAGTCGCCTGAACGGCAATACGGAGGATGATCGACTACCGCGAGAGAGAGGGATCGTCGAGCCACGACTGAAATGTCGAGGTCCGAATTTCGAGACGAGAGGAACTGAAATCGCACCCGGAGAGTTACGCGTCCGATATTGTCGCACGCTTGAATCGACACGTGAGATTCTCGAACACCCCCGCAGAAAACACCCGGATAGCCGTAATCTCCGAGTTTCCTCGGGATATCGTTCAAACAATCGCCGCTCTAAGAATCTTCTCAACGAGCGAAATAAACGAGATCCGTTTATTGACTCGCGATCGCTTTGTAAATAGCCGATTCGTGACACATCGTGAGTTTGGGAAATACGGAATGCGTATTACGCGCGCAAAAAAACTGTACGCGTTATTATTTTATATTATAGTACGTGCACGCATAGGTAACACGTGGCTACAAGAAGAACGCCCGTCAGACTCGAAGAAAGAAGTTCTTTTTATGCGAGACTGCACTTTTATGTGCACTGAGAAAAAACTGAAAAATTCATTCGTGAAAGGTGTTATTTCACGGAAATAAACATTTATTCGAATACGGCGAAAATAAAATTCTATTCCGAGCAAATAAATCAATTAATAAGAAATTTGAGATATATCTCACGAAAATATATATTCCGTTATCATGGTGAATTTTTTTCTAATCAATAAATATCGAAGAAAATGTCACAAGAAACATTTACTTCGCAAAATTTGAATTTCTTCTCCTCGATGTACACACGGGAGAAAAACGATTAGCTTCAGCTTACAATTACAGTTGTAACACACGGACAACTGAAACTTTAGCGGCGTAAGCAATTTTAATTACCGCACTAGCAAACTCTGCTGCTATTGCGGCGATTAAAACTGCTTACACTGCTAAAGTTTTGGGAGTTCGTATGTTACAATTAATTTAGCTACTGCAGTTAATGTTTTTTCCGCGCGGGTGCGATTAAAAAGAAAACGCTCGGAATTATACCGGAGAGCCGACAGCGCGTCCTTCCTCAACGAACTCTTGCCCTCATCGTTTCAAACGGGAATCGTTCGGAATCTCCCAAAGCACATTCGAACGAAAGAGTTCAAATTGCTCTTCCCGCAAAACAGAGCGAGAGCAGAAGCGCTTCGGACGGAGGAGGGTACGCGAGGCGAAACGGCTCGTCCCCGAACGTCATCCGCTCTAGCCGGGATCGCTCTCTAACGTCACGGCATCTGGATGGAGACTGCAGCGGTGGCCGGCTAGCGCAGTCGATGCGCATCAATACGCTTTGGCAGCCGATTGACCATAAAACCGCGCGATACTGCGAGGATATGCCGAGAATACAGGGCGATGCGGATCAGCGCGCGGTTCGCGGTTTGCGGAGCCGAGACCGACGTTCTCCCGCGACTCCGTGTGTACCGCACGGTCAGGCTTGGAATAGCACGATGGTGCGAGAGCTAGCACGACCCGGCTGCTTTCGAACTGCCCCACGGCTATCCTCACAAGCGTTGCCCTAATTTATCGGCTCAGGTCGCCGTACGACCAATCTGCTTGACGTCCGTCCCCAATTTTTCGGCCCTCTCTTCCCGACGGGGCGCGCATACCAACTTTCCTCCCCGAGGGACAAAGCGTCTCTCTCGCAGGGGCCGATGAGGGATCGAAACTGTCTCAATGGTACACATGGTCTCGCCCCGAAACGAGGGGGAGCGTCGAAACGGGACTTGCTTCTAGACTACACGAGATAATAGCCGAATATCGGGGGAGAGAAGGAAGAAATAGCCACGATGAAAGAGTAATACGGGAGGCTCGAATCGAAACCAGCCGGCGCTAATGCGTCTCGCGATCTCTGTACACACCGCACACACACGGACATACATGCACGCACGCTCTATTTCGCACAGGAGAAAAAAGATTTCTGGTAGGCAACGATTGCACTTAAGGGAATAGCAGATTACAGCCGGGTGGAGGAATACAGATGCGGGCCGCATGGATAAAGAGAGCGGCAAGAGAGAACGAGCTCGGACCACGCAGCAATGAGAACGTCACGAGCGCGAGTCTGCTTGATTTTGAAAAGTTTCCCGAGGGAGAGAACTACCACGGGAGGAGCTACGGTACGGTGTGCACGGTAAACAGAGAAGAGCACCTCTTTCTCTCTCTCTCTCTCTCTCCGACAAAGTCACGTAAGTAAGCCTAGCGCGAGTATCTCGCACAACATACACGCACAGACGCACCCTCGCCGCTTCACGCTCGTATCTATTACTCACTACTCGCAGCCCGCTACTCATTTACTAGCGATTCCGCTCGCACGGGGATGCTGGCCGGGCTCGTGTTTAGCGCGAGAGGTCATACCGCTTCTCTCTGACGCGCGGCCTCGGCGCGCGAGGGTGAATCGAGCGATTAGCGTGCCACGCGGGGGTTACGTCACGCTAAACCCACGCTGCCCTAGCTGCCGCGATCGGCAGCGCTCTCGGCATGCCACTGCCCCGCGTAGCGTGCTCTCTCGCTCTCTTTCTCGGCGAGCCACTCATGCGAACGGACGCACACACACACACAGAAACGCACGCACGCATACGGTGGCGCGCAACCCCGCAAGACGGAGGGATGTCGCGTGCGCGGGTGCTAGCGATCGCCCGAATACTGGGGAAGCGTCTCGCGGAGCGGACAGGGTTGGCGGGCAGGTAGTCGCTCTGGCAGGGATGCGTTCAGCCCTACCCCTTCCTACCCCGACGCCACCGCCACTACCGTCGCCACCACCACCACCACCACTACCACCGCCATCGTAACCAACTTCGGAGCCGTCGTCGTCGTCGTCGTTACACCGACGAACCTCTCCTCTTGTAGCCGGAGCTGGACGGGGGTACCAACGATCGGAGATGTTTATCCTTTAAATTCCTCGCTCCTTTGTACATTTTATTCCACACACACACACACACACATACACGAGTATGGAGTGAACGGTACGCGAATGTGGCTCCGGTTCCGGTGGCTTTGAGTTGTCTCGGCTTTTGCGCTTCTTGTTCCGATCTGGTGAATGTTACATTGAGGTTGTCCGACGCAGCGTGTGTACGCTCGTGTGCAAGTGGAGCGCATCGAATTGGACAGAAAAGTCTTTCACCATTTAGCGAATAACCGCGATATGTAATTATTGAGATATTAATTGAAAAATATTGGCGAATCCGTACGCGCAGCCCGCCGCTCGCAACGTTGCTCAGCCTCCAGTCGATATTCATCGCTGCTAAGGGACAATTAATAAACTCAAATATGTCTCTTCAGACTGCACATGTTAATGTTCTTCAATTAATATCTCAATAATAACGGCACCGTACGAAAAGTAATATATTACTTTTCGCTCTCAAAGAGATATTAATTCGGCGGAAATGTAATGTGAGGTTTATCTGTCGGTATACTTAAATACATTACTTGTAGTCATGTACACCACATCACTAACGAATGCGTTAATATTCAGAGAAATTGCCCTTTAATTGCTCTGGAAATGACAAATCATGTTTTGACAAATGGCGAATTACTGACGTTAACGTTAACGGATCGCTGTAATTATCCACGAGAAGCTGCCCATTTCGTAGTTTTCGCCGAGTACAGCCGACTTTGCGGCGGCAGCTGTGTTAAGCCAAGCTTATCGAGGTATAAATCATTTTATTACTTGCCACAACAGCGCAGTTAGGTGTTGCGTTATAAAGATAGATCGCGACGCCCGCTACTACGGATGAACGTAAAAGCCCGCACTCCAACAGCGCCGTAAATGTATTACAACGCGTATCCCATCCAGCAGTGTGAGACGGATCGAAGGGACGAGTCGCGTGCGAAAAACAAACGTAAAAGTGACGTTTGGCAGTAACGATCTCTCTCTTTCACTCCGAGAGGAGCAGCGAAATTTTCGCTCCACTTTTCTCCGTTAACTCCTTGCCGCGGGAATTAGGACGAATCGTGGCAGTCGTTGCCGAGCGAGCAAGGTAGGCTTTTACTAGTTTGATTAGGTCGGTCAGTGTTGAGAAAAGCCCTCGGGCCGACCTCGCCTTTGTTAAAACGTCCTCGGGATGACGATCTCTTCCGTAGATTTCATACGTTTTGGGAGGACTCCAGTCACGACCATCGGACATCCCTCCGTGCGCGAAATTTCATTCGCTCGGCATTTCGTGGCAACGTGGCCTCGCTCGAAAGGCAGCCACGAGTGCAAAACTATGCACGATAAGCAGCTGCTGCCGCAGCAGCAGCCGCATATGGCACCCCCGGTGCAATTTCGCGGCACAGGAGAGTTGGACATAAAAATTTAGCGGTTGAATTTATGAGTCGCGACAGAGAAAGAGAGCGGAAACAATAAAATAAATTTTATCGATCGACCTGTAGCTTCTCGTAGCTTGGCGAAGGCGCCCCGTCGAAAAAGCGCTTTCTCACCCGCGAGACCTTTATTGCTCATCCTCCCGACATGACCTCGGATCGCCCGGGCGAGATAAGGAGATTAGCACGTACGCCGTTATCTGAAAACGTAGCGAAGAATCCCGCTGGAAATCGGAGACGTCCCAGAGCCGCCGATGCATATGAAACAGAGAGAGAGAGAGAGAGAAAGGGAGCACATGTGCGCGGCTTGAACAACGAAATCCTTTTCTTTAAAATGGGATCCCTTCGGCGAATTAATTTCAACGCGTCCGACGTTCCCTGGGAAATTTTTCTCGCGACATGGCGAGCATAAACCGAGAAGTACAAAACGTACAAGAGATCGCCGATTACATCACGTAACAATAAATTGTTGTTCATCAGGAACGAGTCTTTAATTAATATTTAATTATCTATCCAGATCGTGCCTCAATTCTGAAACTCAAAATCAGCTTCTCCTGGAATATCCACCTGTAATCAAAGACAAATAATTTAGAATAAACACACACATATGATTTTAAAATAATATAATTCAATTTGGCTTTAATTGCTACTCTAATGCAACTATAATGACGGGCGTCACTTATAACGAAGTACGATAATCGGACGGTTTTGTCTACCAAATTTAAGTTACGGATAAATTTTTCACGAGGTTGTTTCAATTTGACTTTGTGAAATAAACATAGCAATCATTGTTAATGCGGATGCGTCTTTGAATCTTGAAAAATTTAATCCGACCAGTATTCGTGCAGCTCGCCGCGAAAACAATTCAGCCTACACAGAAGCTGAGAGAGTAGGGCAGAAATCAATTTCTGTCCTTCTTGTAGGGCGTGATAGGTTTTGATAGATTCCGAGCAGTATCTTATCGTGAAAGAAGTTTCCACAGTAAATCATATTTAAGCATCTCGTCGAATAGAATTCGACGTAAACTACGACGATGAGCTGCGTATCGTTCTTCTTGACGATCTTAATCGCCGCGAACATGTCATCTCTAAAATCAAGAGCTCTCTCTCTCTCTCTCTTTCTCTCTATCTCTTTATATATATATATATTATTCTAAAAGAAGCTGCGTTCGGTTTTACAAATTGGAGACATCGATTTACTTTGATTGCTTCATGGAAGTCATTTTATTGGCTAGATATTATTTTAAGATAATCTTAAGAACAAACCAAACAATCTCTTCGACTTGTGAAACCGAACGCAGCTAGGAACGTACTGCTTGAACGTGTGCCGAGCGACTCTCGAGATAATCGTGATGCTGTTTTTCAGGACAGGAGACCGACACGGGCTGTGGAAACGTTGCATTGTTCTTGTTGCTTCTCAGCTTTAAGAACAATGAGACAACTATGGCGAACGGCAATGTCAATATCGGTAAATCCATCTGAAATATGGCAGCGTATGAGCCTCGCGAAACATCGCAAATCTGCCGGGAGCGGTAAAACGGGATTCAAGTACTTTCGTAAATACAGATTGCACGCAATATTGCACGAGCACGGTATAAACGATCGCCACGACAGTGGCAACGGTCGTCTGGCCATTCAGCACTAACAGATTTCCTCCCAAGGCGGCCCCAGTCAGCAGACTGTTGTAACCCCAAGACCCGTTGTAGATTTCGCCATATTCTACACCGAGCTCCAAGCCTGACGGAAAATTCATGAAGACGACAATTTATGTTTCTCGCGCTCTTACTTTGAGAAAAGAATTTTCGCTACTCTGCGCTCTCCTGCTTAGAGCAACATTTTGTATTTATTCGTGTGTAGACATTCACTGTATAGATGGTGATCACACAACGAGAGATTAATTAACTGCACATGTCGACACTGTACATGTTCGTACAAGGATTATATGAATACCTGCGAGGCAGCCGACGAGAGCACCGAGGAAGGAAAATGCAGCCGTTGTCGGCGAAAATAATACTAATGCCAGATACACGACGGATCCGAACATTGTATTATCGATGGCGAACACCTGCGATGGGGAAGTAACGATACTCGTAACATCTGAAAATCAGGACTTAACAGTTTCAGCATAGAGTAGACAAATCGATGTTTTCGTCTCTTAAAAATGTTTTCACGTTAAACGAAGAGAAGAATAAATTCTATCGTGACAAATATCAGTACAACAGCGATATCCACTAAAACGAAATTTAACGAGTCCTTTTGTGCGATGATTGATAGATTGAAAACACGATACAGCGAAATCTCGAAGTTCACGGTTTATCGAGATATTTTAAAACAAGATTTAATTGCAATGTGTGACACACTGTCGAGTTTGTCGAGTAATATGGAAAGTGAACTGAAACTGAGGAGCAGCTGCAGAACTAACGAGAATCTATTGTGTGCTTCTTAAGACCCGTCAGATACTAATACAAGCACAATCAAAGATACAAAGTTGCAAAAAGTGGAGCACAAATGAACTCTACCATTTCCCAGTCAACGTTGCTCGTATTCTGCACATAGAAACCAGCGTCGTCCACCATCGTCGTTGTCGTCAACATCGTCGTCGTCTCACTTGTTGCATTGTGCTGAAAACAATGAGAGAGCCTTGCACAATAACCCGCGCACGATGGAGAAATGCACGGCGGTGTCTCGATAAGTCGGGGGAAGGTAAAGGTCCAAACTATCTCATGATAAAATATGCTTCATGAAGAAGTAATTTATGTTCCTCGCCTCGCGTATTGACCCGGCTCGTAAATTTCTTTTTTAACAAGAAGCAAGGAAGAAGAAGTAAAGGAAGAAGAAATTCTTCACGCGCAACGTACAACTGTGTATATGTGTGCGTGTATTCTCGAGGAGATTCATTCTAATTCCATTGCACACGCTCAGACGTTAGACTCGCCTAAATCACGGAGCTTATTTACATTGTATGAGAGCGCAATTAACTTTTCGCATTATCGCGAGAATACATGTGACTATTATGGTGCGAACCAGTGGCAGATTCGCACGTCGTAAAATTTGATACATTTGTCCACACACACACACACACACGTACACACGCATGTGCATACGCAGCGCGCATGTAGCAAATGTAGACAGACAGCCACAAGAACGTGCAATATTTCCAAATATTTTACTGTTACGCTACTGTTTACCAACTCCACGGATCCTCGGAAGAAGAGAAATTTAGGGAAAGTAGGAGAGAGAGGGAAGGAGGGAGAATACGCCCAATATTTAACTGAAACAAGCAGCCAGCAACTAGTTAGGATGAAATAAATCCGTGCGGTGGTAGGTTATCGTTGACGGAGTTGTTCTGGCCGGAGTTTGATCAATACGGAGGAAAGCCACAACCCACCGAGGATAGAATTTTCCTTCGTGAAGACGCATCGAATATGTATGGTCTGAATACTGAGGCCGTTTTTCCCCGAGAATTTTTTTTCCCGCGCGCACTCTAAAAAGCCTCCGCCTTATTCTACTTAAATTTACTCCCGTGACCTACTCTCGAAATTAAAACGAATATCGCCAATCGGTCATTCCTTATCATTTCGTCAATCGTCTCGAGTCATCTTGTATACATTTCGGATTATCCTAGGTGGAAGAAATTTCTAAAAAACTTTCTTAAGATGTCTGAAAGATATCTAAAAAAAATAAATAAACGTCTTTTCTGGACATCGTTTAGAAATTTATTTTGTGTCAGAGGCGTTACGTTTCAATAAATATGTGAACGAACCGTGATTGGCTGTCAAACATCGGGTGCTTCGATACTTCGATACATCGAGATTTGCAATTATCGCTAACGTCAGTTACTTCGGTCAGTTATACCGGGGCGATCGCGACGGGAACGGCGTCCGAAACCTCGTCCTGTGTTTCGTGCGATTTTAGCCGGTCTGAAAATCCGTTACCGCTGCCGAAAGTGCCGAATGCAAGGTACGTACATTTGTCGTAGCAAAGTATCGTAGTAAAACAGTCCCGAGAGGCGGGTAAATGCCCGAAATCGCGGGACAAAGTCTGGTCGGCTGTGTCAGCCGAACAATGCCGCGATCAGGCCGTTATGACGATCGAAAGTTCAACAACCCGCTGCTTTTCCGACCCTTCGGAGGGGAGGTTTTTCACGCGAAATGTCGTTGCAGGTGCAAGAATTAAGTCTCGTGTACTTGTCGTAGCGAGATACCGTCGAAAATACTACCAAAATCAAGTGTTTCGCGAAATCACTGGTCGGCGGTATCGAGTGAAGTTCGCTCATATTCGTACTTCGAGAATCGTAATCTGTTCGTTACGAGTGGTCAGTTAAAAGATGGCTATCGCGAGAGGTGCGACGCTGACCGCTTGTCCCGTGTTCCGCGTCGTTTTCGAGCCGAAAGTGCGGACTTCCTCTGCGAATTATCGCGTCCGATGACAACGTCGAATGTGGGCCTCTCGTCTCGCGCGGCGAGTGTCGTCGTGGTAAATAACAAAAGTGCGTCGGTCGGGAGTGTCGGGCAAGTGTCGTACGTTCGTCATGTTCTTCACCGAAAAGGATTATCTTGCGTGAGGGCCGTCATCGGGAATGTCAACACAGCGCAGCTTCTTCGTCGAGTCGCAGCAGCGGAGAATTCAAATCCGGCCGTTGTGAAAAAGATTTGTCGATATTGACGTATTAATACATACGTATTAATAATGCGCAACAGATGGCACTTCTGCATGTCTTCGCTATGTTGAATCTAGCGTACTGTTCCTGAATTTACGTAAAAAATCGAGCAATCAGGGTCCCATACTTACTTGAATTTATCCAAAAATTGCAATCCTTGAACCTCACTCTGCCTACGCGATGCACAATAAAGAAATTTACCGCCCTCCGGAAACGTATAGACTCTGGTAACTTATCGATTTTCGGAACTTATCCACCTCGAAGACTTAGGAACTTACCGACTCTCAGAAACTTAAACTATCAACTATTGATCAGCTGTTATTGTGCTTTTCACTCTTACCGACAAAAACTGTGACGTCGAAATTCTAACATTGCACGGCAGTGTCGCTCTCTCATATTGACATTTCCGGAGCTTCCTAATTTATTGCGGACGCTGTGTCAAATATTAAAACTGCTTCGCGAAAATGCCATTTGCTCGGAGCTTTGAGAGGAGTTTACCAAAAAAAGAAACCAAGAAAAGAAAAATTGCACGAAGAGAAAACCGCGCGATTAGGATCAGTGCAATTACTAGTCTCTGGAAAAGGGAAAGGCGAGGGGACAGAGCGCGTACGGATGCTCACACGCTGACCGGTCCGATTTTCTTGCGTATAAAGTAACTTGAAATATAAATCTGCGTCTCGCAGTTGAACCGATTGGTGTTGTTTGAAAATTGGTTTTCGATTGTGTAGAAAAGTCGTTTAAGTTTAAAGATTTATATTTTTGTTATTTTGACAAATTTTTATTATCCTGGCCAAAATGATATTAATTTTAAGTATTTATTACACTTTATATATTTTACGGGTCTGTGCACATAATATCCTTACACCTGTTTCTGTTAATGTTTGTTTAGTTAATGCTAGTAAATGTAATCGACGATTAACTTAATAAAATTAACTGATCTCATTGATCGGTTCAGCTAATTAGCTAATATGATTGGTTAATTCTGTTGAATTAACCATGATGATAGAAACGAGCATTAAACCTATAAGGCAGGTGTTGCTATAGACAGCTACTTAACAAGCATTGATATATAATATTTTTTAACGAGTGTTTATGAATTTTGAAATTTAAATAATTGTAATTCAAAGAAATATTTACACATGTCTTGACTTATATTCGTATATATGAATATATCAAATCTTTATTAATACTTATATATAATATTTTTACAAATACAGAAATCATTTGTATTAATCTATATATTTTTAATATCTCATAAAACAAGAATGTTTTGTCGTTTAAAAATACACGAGAGACAAAATGGAGAAAGGAAATCAAGGAATGTATTTCTTATAAATTAACCTTTAGTCTTTGTTTTTCTATCTTCATTTTTCATGTCCGAAAGAGCACAGCTTTGGCAGGAACAAGAAGTTGGCGTTGTTAATTGCTTCTTCAATCTCCTGTTATATTCACATGTTAATTCGACAACGATGCCAGTGTATTCCTCCGCTTGACAACACTGGCAATTATTCACTTGTTTCCAGTTTTCTATACGAAAAGAAGGGAAATTTATTCAATCTAATCTTAGTATCAAATTAAGACGAATCAAGTGTATTTAATCTGTACTTACTAGTGTCGAAATGCGTGGAAGACTCGCACGTTCCATTGCATTGATTAATACCCTCAATAGGACCCAAATTTTTACATATTCCATATAGTGGATGATTCACAACCAGCATACCTATGGTGCTTTCTGCATCCATAGCAGTTGGTTGGCACTTGCCTGACAAGTAATCGGAAAACAATTAAGAATCAACTTAGATATAACTAATATAAACAAGCAAGCTCATTAAGAGAATTATTATTAAGAGAATTATTCTAATTTTTTTAGAACGTACTCCGGTTTCTTGCTAATTGATTGAGAATGGACAGCTCGCATCGTTTACAGCATTGATCATGATATATTGCTTTTTCAGGGCAATCTTTTATATCGGGACAAGCGGTTGGACTCACACTAATAGACAGCTAAAACAATTAAGACCATAAAATACATAAGACAATAAGATACATAAGATAATGCAACATAAACATGCAAATACTTATTATACAATTAAGAGGTTTAAATTTTTAAACACTGATTACAAATAATCATAAAGATATTTCTAAAAATATCTACATCCTGTGTTACAAGACTTACCAGTTCGTTTACTTTCGAGCAACTATAAGTGGTACAATTGTCATCAGATGACCATGTCGTGCCGGGTGTATACAAAATGTCTTCATATATGCAATATGTTTGCTTGCATTCTCCGCAACATCTGTCATCTTCAGGTTCTTGATATGACCATCCCTTAAGGATTTATCAATATAATATTAACGATGCGTAAAAAAGCGTAAAAAGCGCAACACTCAGCACAATAAGATATTCTTACCTGAGCACACTGCTTCGAACACACTTCAACTTCCATATGCTTCGTTATATTCGGACCTGTTGTGCAAGTCTCGGTAACACAGCTGTCTGTGAAAGATTTCCACTTCTGTCCGGGCTCATAAGTCTTTCCGTTATTGCGACAGGCCGTTTTCACGATTTCTGGGCAACACTTGCCTGAAACTTTGCGGGTTTCTATCTCAAATTCTAACTCCAATTGCGGATCAATTTCTGGACAGTTTTCAGTATTCGTTTGCACGTACATCTGAAAACAAATATCAGTCGCATTTGAATACCCTCCGTCCTATTGATCGGAGATTAAATATTTAGAATCGAAATATTTCGAGTCTTACCCTTCCATTTGTGGAGTCACAAGAGTATGTCACACAATGATCGTCCGATTGCCACTCTTCTCCGACATTCTTAAGCATGCCTTCTACGACACACGAGGTTTGAATACATTTCCCGCAACATTCAACTGCGGTGTCGTTAGACGGTTGATATTTGTAACCAAAGTCGCATATAACATTACATTCTTGGACCTTAATTTGCCTTTGAATACTACCAGAATGTTGGTCACATTCCATCGTAACACAAGCGTCTTTAGCATCGGGCCTCCAACTTTCGCCAACCTGTCGTAAATGGCGTTAAAGTAGTTGATATTTAATTAATTAATTCTTATAACTATATTTGCCAATAATAGAAAGGAGACTATAAATATACATTACAAAGTATTAGTGCGTGTCTCTCTTACAGTGTATATTTTATCTCCATCTTTACAAGCACTACGCTCAAAGATCGGGCAACACTTGTCATCCAACAAGATTTCCTTCAATACGTAGTCGTTTACATCAAGATGTTCGTGCGCACTCGGACACTCCGTGATCACACAGTTCGGCTGAGGACCGTCGTGTGAATTCTCGCACACGCACGTTTTGCATTTACCATCCTTCCACTCTTCCCCAATTTTTTTCGCTATCACATGCTGTCCGCTTCGATCTTCGTCATTCGTGTACAAACATATATCCTTTGGAGGCACTAAAATACGAGGTGACATGAGCATCGATTGAAGTTTTATAGAATCAATATATATTTTTGCATTCTAAAATGAGTATCGTTCTCAATAATGTTGATTTACATTGAAGATATAAAGTAATTAAAAAGTTATATATATATATATATATATATAAATAAATAATAGTTATAAGCTATATATTAATTATATAAGAATGATAATAATTATTATTATTATACGCTTATATTAATAACATTTATATAAATAATAATTATAATAGTTACGTATAAATACAAGTGCAAAATAAATCATACCGCATTCGTGGGTAGGACAGCAATCGTCTACACGCGTGATTGCATTTATGTTGTAATACTTTGGGCATTCAAGCGCCGAAGGACAAGTTTGCGGGTCGCATATTTTAGTCGGTCGCGGGCAACAACCGGACGTATTCATTACTTGTACGAAACCGGGCTCCAGTTGCTCAACTTCATCCTCGATTACGGGGCATTCGTTCTCAGGTAGACATTCTGAAATTATGCAGTGTGTTATGTGGCTTACGAAAAATCAGATAGAGGCCATGGGAAAATCGTTCCACATACGACAAATGATTTTGTAACATCCATCAGCGCCGGTAATAGTTTTCATGACCTGACCAAAGCCGCATTCCGGTTCCTGCGGCTCGACGCACACTGTGGGTGCTGTAGGTTTGGGCACTGTGGGTGAAAAATCGTCAACAATCATTCTAGCAAACTCGATCAGATATTTCTCGACGAGCATCAAACTCACCGCACAGATACTTGGGGCAGCACCTCTCCTTGGTCTCGTTGACGAGCACGGGTGTCATGCTCTCCTCGCAGATCGTATCTAACAGAGGACATTCCGTCTTCTGGCAGTTCACCGCTCCGTCGTGGCACTTGCACTCGGTGCATTTGTCCGGGCGCCAAACGTCGCCCTCCACGTGACCGTCTTTGTCGCAGACGTGACAATTCCTCCGTGGTACACAGGAGTCATTGTGAAGTACATAGTTCTCCGGGCAGAAGCATCCTTCGACGGGGCCTCTAGACGAGCACTTTTCGTCGCTCGGAGTGTCGCACGTTTCTTTGCAGCCGGAAGCGCATGGCCGATAGACAAGACCTACGAAGAAAATGCGTTTAATTAGAATTTTTCGCCTTATCTGACAAGCAAGTTGGAGGAATTTGCCCAAAACGGGGGTTTTCTTGGCTTATAAACGGAATTGAATGGAACAGGTATTGTAAAATATATAGGAGAGTCCGAATATATGAAACTCCTGTCGATTTGAAGCTACTACTGGCTTAAGATATCGATATTGGAAGTTGTACACTGGTTAATTACTTTATGTAATCAATGGGAAATCAACCATATCTACTTCTGTATCGGAGAATTCGCTGGTTGAGTTTTCTGTTCTAACAATGGCCGACCTTTTTAAAGTAGCCTCAACACTTCGATCGTTTTGTGGGTCAGATAGACCCGGTGAATTGTGTTTGGAAAGCTATAGCGAAGAGAAGTGCGTAATCTAATGAATATGCTCAGATTTACTACCAATGGGTGCTCCATACATTTTTCTACATAAAACAAAACAAAAATGCAAGCCTCATAAGTGCTTAAAATTAATTAAAAAACAGTTTTCATTTTCTACTAGCTGTACCATTTTTTACTTGCCATTTTAGTTGTCTTTTCTACCTATTTTTTAAAGGATTAAGCTTGTCAACGAATATCCTTAAAGAAAAGAAAATAGACCATGCTTGACCTCTTGAACGATTATGAAGAACACCAGTGCTATTTATAATCCGAATAATTTATATCCGAAAAAGCATTGGCGACTTTATTGAGTCAAAACCGCTTTTCTCGCGAGAGCCATTCATCGGTTACCCGATCGATGGAATGAAGTCATAGAGAATAATGGAAATGATTTCGTACGTCAAACCTGTACTTGACTTTTTGTAAATAAACTTTGAATTTCATGGAAAAAAGCGCCGAATTAATGTTGTACACCCAATGGAATGCAGAAGACTAGAAGACTAGAAGTTTACCTTCGGGACATTCGTGCGGACAGATGTTGTCGGTCCTCCAAGCCGGGCACAGGTCAACTTCCGAGCACTTCCTCGCGTACATCTCCATGCTGTCGCAGTAGTCGCCACCGTTGCACAACGCGTCGTGGCAGCAGTCGAGGTACGGTTCCGGGTCGACGATGCTGTGGCATTGCTGGAACTCCGGCAAGTCCAGAAGCTTCCTGCAGATATCCTGATCCGTCGGTGGAGACTCGCACCGAACCCGACTTTCGCTGGAGCAGGCCTGATCGTTCAGGTCCAGCTCCGCCGGCAGGCGGTTAGCCAGCCAAGACTTCCCGAATTCCTCGGCGTCGTGGGTGATCTCGCCGTCGCGCTTCTTGAAACCGGCATCGGCGTTGCAGCCGCCGCAGAGGCCCTCGGTGGCGTCGTCGAAGATGTGCGAGGGCAGCTTCAAGGTGAACGCGAAGTTCTGCCGGAAGGCCACGAGCTCCAGCTGGATGGCCGGCAGCAACAAAGACACGTCTCCCGCGGACGTGCGGTCCAGGGTGATCCACGTGCGGCTGTACGGGAATTCGGCGACCTGCGAGTCGTCGACGGAGACTCGCAGATCCTTCGAGTCTTCCGTCCGCTTCATTTGCACCGCATGTTTTCCGTAGAGAAGCGTGACGGCTCTCGTGCACGTGCCGGTGGCGCAGCCGCCGTTGCTCACCAGGATCTGATACTGGTGGCTGCCTTCCTCCCGACCTTTTACACTGTCCGCGACGCTTCTGGACAGGACGTAGGTGCAGTTGCCGGCGAAGCCGAAGTCTTTGCGGTCGAAGCCGATGAACCTGGAGTTGCCGAGGCCGTCGCACACGCAATCACGACACTGCACCGGCGGCACGCACTCCTCGTTCCGGCGCACCAGGCCGTCCGGGCAGAAGCATCCGGGGAAGCACGCGCCCGGCATCGCCGGGCAAGGCTCCAGCTCGCGCAGATTCTCGCAAGTGATCTCGCATTTGTTACGGAAGCAGTCCCGGTGAACGAACGGCGCCGGACAGCTCGCGGGGCAGTCGTGAATCCTCCTCCAGTCGGACAGGTCGGCGCCGGGCACGGCGGCCTCGCATTCGCTCACGAAGCCAGTCAGCAGCTGACACCGGCAATCCTCGTAGGAGCTGTTGCCGCGCAGACACGTGCACGAGCTCTCCACGCAGCGGGATACGAACTTGTCGATGTCTATCACCGAAGAGCACGCTTCCACCAGCGTCGGGCTTTTCACGGAGTTGCAGATCGTCCAGGCCCGCTCTTGGACGTTACGTGGACACACCTGGGGAAACAATTTTTAACTTGATGGAAAAATTGACAAAAAAGAATCGGATTTCTTCCAAGCCTTTAAAACTGCCTAATGGTGATACCTGCGGGTCACATTCTGGCGTACCCTCCATCGCCCAGCTCTTGCCGAACTGGACGGTGCTTTTCGCCTGTCCGCCTTCCGGAGTCTGCCGGTCGTTGGCGACGTTCCCGTCGTAGTATCCGCACAGGCCATCCACCTGACCTGCCAATTTCGAGACGACGCCGATCTTCACGTTGGTGGCGGAGTCCCAGCTTAGCCAGAAGCCGTGGTGCGATAGGAGCATGATGGTATCGCCCATGCGAGACAGCTGGAAGCCGGGGAAGCGAGTGCCGAGGCGCGCGACTTGCCCGGCGGTGAAGCTGCGCTCGTCGATGTCCACGTGCAGATCCGGATATAGCACGATCTGGTGATCCTTCAGCGTCACTACCAACTCCCGTGCGCACAGCCCACCGGGTGAGTCGCAGTGCTTCTCCAGCGTGATGTACCACCTGTTATGGTACATGTCGCGGGCCAAGATGTGATTGCAGACGTCGTACTTGTACTCTAGGTGGTCGAACGTGTTGAAGGTTCGTCCAGTGACGTTACAATAGGCCACCTCCGACACCAACGGCCTGCACGCGTACTTGGGACACTTGTGCAGCTTGTACATGCTCATCTTCTCGTACACTACCTCGTAATTCGGCGGGCACGACGCATTCGGACATTTCTCTGGGTGGGGCTTGCCGGGGAAGACGGGCGGGAACTTCGTGGGCGCGCAGGTGAACTCAGAACATTGGACATCCTCTGCACTTGGTCTACGATCCACGTACTTCATCGGGTGATTGCGGAACGGCGGCTTCCTGGGTCTCTTCGTCTTCATGAAACCCTTCACTCCGGATTTCGCTTTGCTTCCCGAATAACCTTTAGCCTGGTAATTCGACTTGTAGACTATTCTGTAATTAAAGATATGATATGAAACATGAAAGTATCGATACTAATATTGAAACGGATATCTAATCAAGAGTATATAAATTCAATAAAATGTTTGTTCATGTGGAAAAGATAAGAAAAAACACGTTTTTTTCGAACTGAACTTATTGAAACTGAAATTAAGTAAAAATCAAGTTGAAAAATTCTATTTTTTTCTACGATTCTTAATAAGGAAAAACGTTATTAAATAAAATTCAGTCGATCACACAATACTTGTCTATGAACAACGCGATAATATGGCTTGCAGACAGATGTCCATTTAAAATTCCCTGATTTTCCCGGAGACAATTCTCTGAGAATTCCAGGTTGTCCAGGTTTTGTTCAGAACAGTCGACACCCTGGATAGTATCATAACATCCTTACCTGTAATCCGCAGGACAGAACGGTTTCTCGCACGGGCCAACTTCGGTCGGCTTCTGGGTCGTCACGGCGGTATAGTTGCGCGTCGTTTCCGGCTTGAACACCGTCACGGGGGTGATCACCTCGCATTTCACCTCGTCGTCTGGGCAGTCCTGCACACCGTCGCACCAGGCTGTTTCGTTGATGCACACGTCGCTCGTGGGACAGTGCGTGGTTCCCGTCGGGCAAGGCTTGCACAGACAGGTGCACAGCTCGCTGACGACCGACTGCAGACCCGGCTCTTCGCATGGCTCACACTTCTTCGGCATGCAAGCGGCATTTCCGCCCAAAGCACAGACGCACTCTTGGCAATCCTCGGTCTTGTAGACAGAGCCTACCGCGTACGGTACATGGCCGACCACGCAGGGGCACTCTTGCTCCGGTACGCAGGATTCGCCGTCCCACCACCAGGATTCCTTGCATCTACAGTCTTCGTCGTTCACCGTCTGCTCGATTCCGTCGCACACATTGCACCTTCGCTCGACCGGCGACGGACTCGTCATTTTGGGTACCTCGGGCATGGGGGGATACGCCAAGTAACAACCGAGGGGCTCGACCTTCAACGCGACGTGCTCATGCCACTTGGTGGGCTGTATCTTCAGGTACCTCGCGTGCAGCGGTTTCTCGAAGAAGTTCGTCTTGCTGCTCTGGACGTCGAAATTACCGAGAAACTCTTTCTCGTCCCCGTCCTCGCCGATGACCGGGCTCCAGTGGCGCCTGTCGTTGCTGTAGAATATCTTGTAAGCGGTCGTCCAAGCGCCGTCGCCCCCCTTCGTCGTGATCCCGGTTAAGTTCCGAGGCTCCAGGAAGTCGAACTCGACGTATTGGTGCGGACTGTCCAATGCCGAACGCCACACACCGTCCGAGGACAACGGGAGGTGTTGGATCAGTTGCGGGGAGCTCGACACCGAGACTTGCTCGAGAGTCATCAGCTGGTTGTCCAGCCCCATCGGATCGTCGCACACCGGCCTCACCACCTCCTCGGATACCGTTGTTTTCATGATGGGGAACTCGGTTGCCGTCGTCGTCGTCGTCGTCAGGTGATCCTGACATCCCAACACGTCCGCTCTGACTGCTATCCCGTTGTGCCACGTCAACGGCTCGATACGAATGATCTTCGCCTCGATGGGCTGGTCGAACATTTGCTTCACGGACTGGGCGCGGTCGACGGGCCCCCTGAACACGTGCGCTCGCCTTTCACGGCCGGACACGTACGAGAAGGTCTGGCCGTCCTCGGAGAAGAGCACGTGGTAACTGGTCACGAATTTATCCTCGGTGACGGCGCCTTGCAGCACTACGCCGTAAACCGGCTCGATTTTCTCGAATTCAACAGCGAGCCACTGATGGCTGTCGCTCACCTTCGGCTCCCAGAAGCCGACGTGGTCGGGCGACGAGGTGCCTGGTGCGCGCACCCACAAGTTCTCAGGTCGCAGCACGGGAACCTCGCTGCTGCTGGCGTGGACGAGCACCTTCCCGCTCTGCACCAGCGGTACGTAACGCCGGCTGTCGCACTCCGCGGGCGGCGAAGCCGTGCTCTGCAGGAGAATCGTGTACTCGCCGACGGGCGACGTGGCTTCACGCTCGGGGGACGTGGTGAACGGCGGTTGCTCGGTTGTGACGGCTTGGCTCTCGCCGACTGTGGTTCCAGCTGGTTGCTCGTAGCTCGTCTTGCGGCACAACGTGCTGTCGCAGGTGTAGTAATTGTTGACGCACTGGCAGGTCTCACAGTCGGACTCCTTCCTGACGGCGCCGGGTGGTACGACGGAGCGGCCGTCGTGGGCCTCGCACGGGCACTCGTTGGCGTCCACGCAAGTGACGCTGTCCCTCCAGTATCTGTGCGGTGAACACGCCGGCCGCTCGACCGACACGCACCCGGCCACGCAGTCCGCGCCGTCGTTGCAGTAGCCCCGGGTGACCAGACTGCGACGGTAATGGTGGCACGTCTTGGTGCACTGAACGGCGCACTCGCTCCATGCCTCACCGTCTGGGCAGACCTCCTCGGTCGACACCACTTTCTTCACCGACGTCGTAAGCGTCTTCTCGTTGATGACGCCGCTCTTCGTCTCGCTCCACTCGCTCGGCGTGGTCTGCCCGGTCGCGCACTCCGGTCGAGTCCGCAGGACCGCCGCCGGTAGATTGCACACCTGCATCTTCGCGTCGAACAGAGTGCCGGGAGCGCACGGTCGCTCGATCAACTCGCGACCGGTCGCCGTGGGCACGCACTGGTAGTACAGCCGGCAGTTGGTCGGATGCGGCGAATTGGGCTGCGCCGGGTCGCATTCTTCTTTCCCCGCGATGGCTTCGGTAGTGATTTCCCGTTGCGGCAGTTCCGTCGTCAGCTCGGGGCAGCGGCACAGCACGCTGATCTCGAAGTCGACGCAGGTCAGGCCCGGACTCGACCGACAGTAGAGGCCGCGCTCCAGGCTACACTCCACGTCGAGGCCGCTCTGCTTCGGGCTCAGCTGCTTTTCCACGGACCTGCATCTTATGTCGACCATGTGCTCCTCATCGCACACCGCGAGTCCCTCCGAGTTCTCGAGGTCCGCCAGCCCGGGCAACGGCTCGACCTCCACTGTCCTCTTCTGTGCCGCTTCGTCCTTGTTGATCCATTTGGACCAGCCGGCCACACACTTCTGCGGCTCCACCTGGAGCACGGTGTTGACGGGTTCACCACTGGTGACCTCAACGGTGGCGGCAGTACTGCAAGGCTCTCCTTTGCAGGTGACCCCGCCGCGAGTGCAGAAGCAGCTCTGACAATCGTCGCCTCTCACTCGCTCGCCCTCGTAGTACGTCACTCCGTCGAGCTCGGCGCAGAACGGCTTCTTGCACGTGGATCTCGGCGTGCACTCCGCGTAAGAGGCGTTCCAATACACCTGGCCGGCCGGGCACGGCCGGTATTGGCAGCCCTCAACGCACGTGTCCTCGGCGCACAAGTGGGAGCCGTCCTTGACGGTCATCAGGTTGTCGCAGGTCTCGCGCGGACACGTCGGGACGCAGGGCGAGTACGCGCTGAGCTCCTCGTTGCACTGCAGCGGGCAGATCTCCTGGGTGCGCCACTTCACCGGCACGCCCTTGGCGTTGCACTCGTGCGCGTAGGCGGCCAACGCCGTGCACAGGCACTCGCAGTCGCCGCCGGAGTCGCAGCTGCACGCGTCGAAGATGCAGTTGCGCAAGTACGGCTCGACCTCGACCTCCGAGCGGCACGGCGAGAAGACCGGCGACTTCAGCAGGTTGCATCGCCGCAGGGACCAGAGCTTGCGCTCCGGGTGCTGCTCGCACGCCTCCACCACGTCCAATGGCTCCGGGCAGGACGGGTCCTTCTTCCACGAGTCGCCGAACAAATTGACGGAGGCCTCGGATATGCCGCCGGACGGCGTCTTGAAGTCGTCCCCGGCGTTGTCGTTGTAATCGCCGCACAGACCCACCGTGTGACCCTTCCATTCCGGGTTTAATCGCACGTAGACCCTGGTGCCTGTTGGAGTTTTGGATTAACGCTTTGATCAAGCGTCTGCATTCTAAATTCAAATCTGAGTATCTCACGTGAGACAAGTTTCAAATAAGAAGTACTATATACGAGCTTAAAAGTTCTCTTCATCAACAAACTGCGATATTTGCGAAGAGATCTCGCACATCGGGAGTTTCTAAATTAAATATATTAAAATATACGTTGATGAACAGTATCCGATTTATTTTACGACGTATCATACCTTTGTCCCATTGCAACACCAGTCTCAAGTCCGGCACATCGACGAATACGAAGATTTCCGTGGTTCTGATCGTCATCCTCTTGAAAGGCCCCTTCGGCAGCTTCTTCCCTTTCGTCAGCACGAGTTCTTCCCGCTGCTCACCGTCTCCGACTACAAGCGTGATCGACTTCGAACAGGCGACGCCGTTCGTACCGCATGGTACGTTCTGAATCGAGACGTCGAACGACTGCTCCTTGCTCAGCTTGCTCTTCACCAGAACATAATCGCATATACCTTGGAAATCGTACATTTTACCGTCGAACGTCTTGTAGTGCGAGTCACCCCACACAGAACAGACACCTGTGTAAAGTAAATGACACGATCGAGTACACGACTGGAACTATTCTGACGGTAAGTGTAATTTTAGGGCTTTTTTCTACGTCAATTGATATCAAAAACAAGCTCCTTAAGTTTGCATGCTATACTTAAGTACAGTATGCTATATATAACATCCTGTATATTTTTCATAAATATAATTCGCCACTGCCCGAAACGACTGTTTCAATATCGAGAGGCAATAGCGGCAGAATCAACGGTTTACGGGGGGG